TGTGTTTTTGGGGGAGAACACGCCCCCTATGGCAAAAAAAAAAAAAAAAAAAAAACTCTCCAAAAAATAAATAAAATAAAATTTTGAACAGAGAGAGAAAGGGAGAGTGTGAAAGCAAGCCGGCCCCAAATGAATAATGATTTTAAAAAATGTTTTTAATTCATCTCTTAATCTGTTCCATGAGAGAAAGAGAGACAGAGATAGAGAAACAGACAGCCTGGCTTCCCCAACAGGGTCTCCACACTGTGACTCACCTCTGGACTCAAGCAGACCTGACACACGCATTCACCTACGTGAGCTCAGGGAGGTCGCAAGATGCAAACCAAGACCTCTCCCTGTGGCTGCTCTACGGCTTCGCTTTCATCCAGCCTTGCTTTGGGCATGCACACACGCCCAAGATCCTGAGAGGAGAATGGAGGAGAAGGGATTGCGGCGTGGCCATCCCCCTGGGGGGTGATTTCTCGCTTTCTGTCTCTCTGTCTCTCTCTGTCTTTCTGGCGAGCACATGCGCCCTATAGCAAAAACCTCTCAAAAAAACAAACAAACAAACAAAAGCGGTCATCACCATTTGTGGGTGTGAGTCCTCAGCCTGGATTTTCTACATCTTCACCAACTCTCTACCTCCGTGGGTCTCGGTTTCCTCCACTGGCCCAAGTTTAAGCTCACCGAAGTAGTCTCTGACACACTTGTGTATTTTTTCAAATGCTCTGTTAATAAAAATAAGGCAGGGTGCAGTTCCTGAGCAAATGGCACCACGCGTTCGGTGCCAGTGACCTTATTAAGTGGCTCGGAATATAAACGATTTCCCCTTCCTCTGGAGCTACATCTTAGAGGAGAAAAAGATCTGTGAAAACCACACCAGCTCGGCTCGGAGAAGCCGCCACGTTTCCCAGCTCAGACAGCGGCAGCCGGATCCGTTTCGGAGTGAAGAATAACCGCGAGTCACAAAATCTGATCGGTGGAACGGGGGAGGTTCTATTTTCCAACTTAGAAAACCGAAAAGTTCCGAGGAAAGCCAGAAGAGAAAAGCAGACTGCATCTGGCAGGAGGGAACTGGCCGATCGAACACTGGCAGGGGGAAAAGAAAATGCACTTCATTCGTCCGGGTTCATTATGGGGTTGGGGTGGGTGTGTGCGTGACATGAGATTCTGACTTAGAAACATTTCTGAAAACGCAAACCAAGACCCAGTTCTCTCCCTCATTAGAACCAGTAATTATGTTAACAGAGAGAACATTAAGAAAGCTTTTTTTGGTAATCTGTGAAGAGCTGGCTGAGAAACAAAATGTAATTAAGAAGAAGAAGAAGAAGAAAAAAAAAAACAAGTCAAGACTCTAAGTTCTACAGTGAGGGGATTAGTTGGGGAGGGTAGATTTTTTTTTTTTTTTCCTTCCACAGGGCACATGAGCTCACCACTGAGAGACTGAAAGAGACAGTGACAGGAAAAGTGAGAAATCATCCCCACCCGCTGGGAAAATGGGGACACCACAATCCCTTCCCCTCCATTCTCTGGGATTTTGGGCACGCATGCACACGCACCAGGTGTGAGTGTCAAGGCACCGGGTCCGAGACTTGAACAGCAGTGGGCCATGTGGGAGTCCAGAGACATAACCATTACACTATCTACTGGTGCTGAAGCAAGGTTTTTTGTTTGTTTGTTTGTTTTGAGAGTTTTTTTGCTATAGAGTGTGTGTGCTTGCCAGAAGGACAGAGAGAGACAGAGAGACAGGAAGTGAGAGAGAGTGTGAGAAGAGGGTGGGAAAGGGCAGTGGGCCAGAAATAGGGGTAATTTTAAATATATATACATACACACACACACATATATATCTGAAACTGGAAATGGAAAATTATTGACAATAACATGCATGATTAAGCCACTATGCAGTATATTCTGGATGGGAAATCACGTTTTGTATACTGTGACAGTGCTTAGGGAAGGAATGTAAATTAGTTAATTTAAAATTTTTTTCAGGAAAAAAAAAAGAGAACTGTTTTTCTTTTTTTTTCTTTTCTTTTTCTTTTTTTTGGAGAGGTTTTTGCTATAGGGCATGTGTACTTGCCAGAAAGACAGAGAGAGACAGAGAGACAGAAAGCGAGAAATCACCCCCCATGGGGGGATGACCATGTTGTAATCCCCTCCCGTCCATTCTCCTCTCAGGATCGTGGGCATGCACACGCGCCCAGCGTGAGTTTAAGCCACTGGGTCCGAACTTGAACCATGGTGGACTACATGGGAGTCCAGCGACATAGCCATTACGCTAATTGCTGGTCCCTCAAAAACTGTTTTTCTTGCGATTAAAAAAGAATGCATTGGGGGCCGGCAAGTGGCATGGTGGTTAAAGGTGCTGGATTCCCACATGGCCGACCACGGTTCAAGTCTCAGACCTGGTGGCTTGCTTTCTCACTTCCTCTCTCTCTTTCTGTCTCTCTCTGATCAAACTAGAAAATAATAATGATGATAATAATAAATAAAGTTAAATAAAATAATTCTTAAAAAAATACATTAAAAGCACCTATTTGAGGACTGCAGTAAGCTATACGGCCCCAGCTAGGTGCTACTTTATAGTATGTTGATTCTACTCACTGAGGTTTATGCTTAAAATGAGACTTGTGTTCATGGATGTGTATATATCAGTTGTGCTTGCTATTCAAATATTTAGATTAATAAAGTTCATTAGTGAATCACTAAAATGTAAGGTGGGGGAAAGGCATAGAAAGCAACCATAGATACCAGAGACAGGGTGGGAGGAGGGTGGGAGATGCCAGAGGGTGAGAGATAGGGAATCAAGGATGGGAGAAAAAAAAGCAAAATACATGGGAAACAAGAAATGGAACATTATTTGTTGACGGTGGGACCAGCAGTTAGCGTAATAGCTATGTCTCTGAACTCCCATGTAGTCGACCGCGGTTCAAGGCCCGGACCTGGTGGCTTAAACTCACGCCGGGCGCGTGTGCGTGCGTGCCCAAGATCCCGAGAGGAGAATGGAGGAGAGGGGATTGCGGCGTGGCCATCCTCCCTGGGGGGGGTGATTTCTCGCTTTCTATCTCTGTCTCTCTCTGTCTGGCGAGCGCATGTGCCCTGTAGCAATAAATAAATAAATAAATAAATAAATGGAACATTATTTGTTGACAGTAACACGTATGTTGATGTGCTTGATTGAGCCAATATACAGTGTATTCTGGATGGAAAAATCTCATTTTGTATGCTGGAATGATGTATAGTGAATGAATGTAAATAAATTTAAATAAAAAATATAATGTGGGACCAGAAGATGGCATAATGGTTACGTCGCTGGACTCCCATATGATCAGTGGAGGTTCAAGTCCCAGACCTGGTGGTTTAAAACTCATGTCAGAAAGCCAGCAGGTGACGTGGTGGTTAAAGGTGCTGGATTGTCACGTGACCAACCGTGGTTCAAGTCTTGGACCTGGTGGCTTCCTTTCTCACTTTCTCTCTCTCTCTCATCAAAATGGATAATAATAACAATAATAAATAAATAAAGTTAAAGTAAAAAAAATTTTTTTTGAGAGCTTCTTGCTATAGGGCACGTGTGCTTGCCAGAAAGACAGAGAGAGACAGAGAGACAGAAAGTGAGAAATCACCGCCCAGGGGGGATGGCCACGCCGCAATCCCTTTTCCTCCATTCTCCTCTCGGGATCCTGGGCACGCACGCACACGCACCCAGCATCAGTTTAAGCCACCGAGTCTGGGACTCGAACCACGGCCGACTGCATGGGACTCCAGCGATACAGCCATTACGCACACTGCTGGTCCCTTAAGTAAAATAATTCCTTTTTTTTTCTTTTTTTGAGAGATTTTCGCTATAGGGCGCGTGCACTCGCCAGACAGACAGAGAGAGACAGAGAGACAGAAAGCGAGAAATCCCCCCCCCCCCGGGGGGACGGCCACGCTGCAATCCCTTCTCCTCCATTCTCCTCTTGGGATCTTGGGCACGCACGCACATGCGCCCGGCGTGAGTTTTAAGCCACCAGGTCCGGGACACGAACCGCGGTCGACTACGTGGGAGTCCAGCGACATAGTAAAATAATTCTTTTTTAAAAAAATTAAAAATTAAAAACTCACACGGGGCACAAGTGCATGCATGCCCAAGATCCGTAGAGGAGTCCTGGACCTGGCAGCTTGCTTCCTCACTATCTCTGTCTCTCTCTCTGTCTCTCTCTAGTGAATGCCTGTGCCCTATAGCAAATGAAAAATAATAATAAATAAATAAAATAAATACTTATTTCAAAAAATATAATAAGATCTCCTTGGGTCACCCATGGCTGAGCGGTTAAGGAAGCAGGATCCCATGTAGCCAACCACGGTTTCTATACCAGATCCAGCAGCTTGAAAACACATGCACGCGTGGCCAAAATCCCGATAGGATGGAGACATGAAAGAGAAGGGATTGTGACAGGACAGCACCCCCTGCGGAGGTGGGTCCTTTCTCCCTCTCCCCTCTCTCTCTCTCTCTCTCTCTCTCTCTTACACACACGCACACATACACACACACTGTCCCTGTCTTTCCCTGATGGGCAGAGGTACCTTCTGGCAATGAAACAAATTTACCTTCATCAGTCCTTCCCTTGTGGGATCAGAGGTCCGGAGTACATCTTCCGTGGACCACCACGACCCTTTTAGGTACACAGCCACGACTGAAAAAAAAAAAAGCCAGGAGAAAATTTCAATGAACACACCACAGTCTGGCCCCATGGGAGCAGTTTTAACAACATGGGAGTCCTGACTGGGACCAGCAGATGGCGTAATGGTTACCTTGTTGGACTCCCACTTTGGAGACTGCGGTTCAAGTCCTGGACCCGGTGACTTAAAATTTAACCCCGGGCGGCGTGTGTGTGTGCAGGCCCAAGATCCCGATAGGAGAATAGAGGAGAAGGAACTGTGGTATGCTAGGACACATGTGCTCCCCAGGAAGACAGAGAGAGACAGAGAGATAGAAAGCGAGAAATCATCCCCCAGGGGGGACGGCCACACCGCAATCCCTCCTCCTCCATTCTCCTCTTGGGATCGTGGGCACGCATGCATACGCTCCCGGTGTGAGTTTAAGCCACCGGGTGCGGGACTCAAACAGCGGTCGACTACATGGGAGTCCAGCGACATAGCCATTACGCTAATTGCTGGTCCCATCCAGAGTGATTTTTCAAGCTGTCGGGTCCAGGACTTGAACCACAGTCCACCATGTGGGAGTCAGCACCTTAACCACCACAGCCCCTGCTGGCCCCAGTGTCTTAAGCATTTCACGTAAGTCTCAAGGCTTTAAAAACAAATGTTGTCCATCACTCGCGATAAGCTGCCTGCGTCTTCTTCCCTATTTTTCTCTGCTGTCTGGGGAGCTTAAGTGGGAAGTTTCGTGAAGACCGACCTACAATGGCACCAGGCAGGTGTTAAACCCAAACTCTGCAAAAGCAGCAGCATCTAACCCATACCCGCCGTGTCAGTTTCCTATCAGAGAATCATATCATGTCTGACAACGGTTCCCAAATTAATAGCGCCGGCTGGGAGAGAAGGGCCAATTACACGCTTGACATCTGCCTTCATTTTTTTCAACTTAATTCATTTCCAGACTGGCACCTCCGAGCATTTACAGGAGCTTTAGAAATCCATAAGGATTATTTCCCTGCTTAACTAGGTGCATCGATTAAAGATGTTCAATGTACTGATCCGATGTATTCCTGCAATACAGATGTTCGATTGATGAACACAAGTTCAGGCAGGAAACCTGTTACCGCTGGGTGTTTAGGTGGTATCTTGCAAATTTCACGTGGCGCTGCAGTATTTGACACAAGGTGTCACAAAATAGATTGAAATCCGTTGTTTTTTTTTCCCCCCTCCAAAATTCAAACTCCCAAGAACACATAAAAATGAAAGTGAAGTCTAAACTAATATAACAGTCTAAAATAAATTGCCCTCGGGACCAGCAGATGGCGTATGGGCTATGTCGCTGGACTCCCATGTAGTTGACGGCGGTTCGAGTCCTGGACCCGGTGGCTTAAACTCACGCCGGGCGTGTGTGCGTGCTCAAGATCCCAAGAGGAGAATGGAGGAGAAGGGACTGCGGTGTGGCCATCCCCCATGGGGAGTGATTTCTCGCTTTCTGTCTCTCTGTCTCTCTCTGTCTGTCTGGCGAGTGCACGTGCTCTATAGCAAAAACCTCTGCAAAAAAAAAAAAAAAAAAATTGCCCTCAGCAGCAAGTCTTCAAAAACCACAGAGGGGCCAGGAGATGACACAGCAGTTACGCTCCTGGACTCCCACATGGTCAACCATGGTTCGAGTCTGACCCGATGGCTTGAAAATCATGCCAGGCGTGTGGGTATGCATGCTCAAAATCCCAAGAGGAGAAGGGATTGCAGAGTGGCTATCTCCCATGTAAGCGATTTCTCCTTTTTCCTTCCTCTCTCTTCAGTGAGTGAACATGCACCATGGGGAGGGAAAAAAAGCCTGTTAGGTCCAGCCTGTATCGTGACGAAGGCAGCTGGATCTCACACGTTCGACTGCACGGTTCAAGTCCCAGACCCAGTGGCTTGAAAAACAGCAGGTGCATGTGTGTGCGTAGCCAAATCCCAAAAGTAGGGAGAGATGGAGAAGGGGCTGCAGCATGGAGGAGTGTTCACTCTCTCTCTCTCTCTCTCTCTCTCTCTAGTTTTCTCCAAAAAGCATACATGTTCTCTAGCAAATAAAAATAAAAATAAAAATAAAAAAAAGCTTGTTAGTGCCAGCAAAATGCAGGTAGCCACACAAGCAATCCTAGACCTGAGGAGAGAGAGAAAGTGAGAGAGAGAGAGAGGTCCATGTCCCAGTCACCGTACGAACCAAGTGGGATTCACTCCACACGCGCTTCTTACCTCCCGGACTGCCTGCAAATCGCTTATATCCTGGGTGAGGTCTGTATTTCACCACCGCCAAAGGGGTTTCGAGTCCCCTCACTGAACCCCCCCCTTCACCCTCCCTCTAGAACTCCCCTGGAGTCTTACAAATGTAAGAAATATGTAGTTCCACCAAAAAAAAAAAAAGAACCAACTTAAAACCAAAGGAC